TTCAGAAAAGGGAAAGCAGTCATAGATTGGACTGATGCTCCAGAAATCGCCTGACAGGGTCCATGCTGAATTACATACTACGTAGATGTCCGCCGTGTCAAGAGGGATTTCTACAAGAAATTACGATACGTTTTGTTAGCTGGAACATGAGTTTATGCATCTATTATAAGTTACGGGAACCCACTGCATGTTTATGCTGCTGTTACATGCGCTTTCTATTACTTTCGCCCTGAACTCCCTTTTACGAGCTGTGGAGTGCCAAGACGCAACATAACGTCAAAAAGTTGCTTCTCTTAGTTCTTAAAAAGTTGTTTGATGGTATGCATCTCGGTTACCGAAAACAACACGATTCTGGCGCTTGTTTGGCGGAGAAGTGGCGAAAAGCAATGACATCGACGACTTGCGTAATGTTGTCCAAGTTTTTATGGCTTATTGACATATGTTACTTATGACAGTATACGGCTTCAAAGCTCAGAGAACAACCGTTCAGCTTTGCAAACAAACTTGCTATCAGCTGAGTCATAAGCTCGAAAGGCAACTTATACGCTTGATCCCACCGCATTGTTAAGCTGATGGGTTCAGTTGGGTCCTCGCTAACTGAGGCGTTTCGATAAAACGTTTGAAACAAAGGTTTCCCTTGCCTTGACATTATCTTGCAGCTATGATGCAATTAGTCGACTGTTTTTGCTTTAGCTGCAGATAGTGCTTTAGGTTAAGAAGCCTGTCTCGGAATAAAAGTGCCGAGAGAGAATCGGGATAATGATCATTTCAGTTAGACAAAACGCCTACTCAAACGAATGCGCTGGTGTGCGAGCCCTTAAGCGTTGTGAGCTAATGCGCACCACAAAAACAGCATTAGGCGATCTTATGACATATTCAGCATAACTTTAAAACATCGGCATGGATTGATTGCTGACTTTCGAAAGGTCAACGAACGGTAGCAAAGTCAATGAAACGAATCGTCGTTACCTCTCGCTCCCAACGTCACATCCCCAAATGTTTGCCGGCACCGACTGGATTTTACACTTGCATTTAGGATGTACATTCCGTGCGTTGCCATAAGCCCAACCTTAATCGTGAAATGAATGCGCGGCCCGGGCCCGCAAAAGCATAGAGAAAGGAACTCCTGCCACTTATGGTGTGATACGCCGGGCTAACATAGTTCGCCCCATAGCCTAGTCATAGTCCGCTCCATAGTTCGCTAGGGCAAAGTCTGTATCTTGCAACCATAAAATCAATATCTACGTCAAGAAGAAGATCTTTTGGATGATTGCGTCAGCGTTGAAAGTCCCCGAAGCCTCAGCTCCAGTTTATGCTATTTCAGTTCAAAACGCTGTTATAAATGTGAGCCTCTTCCTAATCTGTTTTATAAGACAAATGGCATGCTAACAACTGATTAAGGACTTGTCACTGAGTCAGACATTTCTTTTCCGTTGCCAACTTTCCCTTACTCCGAACGTTCTCAATGCGACATCTGCCTACGGATGGGAGGAAGGCACCGTGCCAGTGCCAATCAGCGTGCTCTGGTCGTGTCATTAGGGGCAGGTGGCTCTGCCATCGGGATCACTAGGACAACGGCCAGCGCACGAGCACACTGTGCCAAGGGTCGTCCCCAGGCTTCGTGGCTTCTGCCCCTCGATTCAGGATGGCCTCTGGGGTTCGGAGCGTGCCACTGGGTCGGCTTGGGTCGGCCCCGAGCGCGCTGCTCTCCTCGCCCACTGGAGCTGGTCTGTCGCACGGTCGGACGCAACAAGGGCTGCGTCCGATGCCATCAGTCACCACAGTTTTCCCTCTCTTGATTGCTTCTCCGTCTGGCCAGCCCTGTGCGTGGCCAAACTCTGATGACGAACCCGATCGGGTTACCGTCCCCAAAACGGACCATTACCGCGCCGTTTTCACCACAAGCGCCTCGTTGTCCCGGATGCCCGGTCGTATGCCACAGGCCAGCAGTGTTCGGACGGCGCCGGGCCGTGGGCCAGGTGGCGGGGCCCCCGCGCCACACGCCGCACCGCCGCGCATGACGGCGCCGCCCCCCGGGCGGGACGCCATCCGCCCAGCCTCCGCGCCCGCCCATAAATCGTCCCGCGTACGTAACGACGGCGGGGGGGTGGGCGTTTGAAGCCGCCGCCGTGCCATTTTTTGCGCCCCCGAAGCCCGTGATTAAATTTGCCAGCGGCGTCTGCGCAACCACCCGGGAAACGCGCCGCCGGCCTCGGGTCACAGTGGGCGGGGTATGATGGTCGGCGGTGATGCTACCTCGGTTGCCGCTGGCCCCCGGGCAGCGGGGACAAAGCTTGAGTGGTTTGAGCGCGGCAGGATCTGTGGAAAATACCACTTGCTGACGTCATGGTGCACTGGGATCGTCTCATTTGGATCGTACATAATTGGGGGGTGCATAATTGAATTAATATGCGTCACGGTACCTGCCGCCCCCGGTCCCGGCAGAGTGTCGGGGCAGCTCAGCTGCAGGGTATCAATTTAGCAGGATGGTGCACTGGCAAGTTCCCCATGCATAAAAACAGCCTGGAATCGCGGGTAAGCCACGTAGACAGCTGCAAACGGCTGTATGCTGTATGCTCGGGCAAACTTACGGAGGGCATGTTTCCTGCAGTGTCCTCGGGAAAGGTTTCTTTGCTTTGGTAAAAGTTTATGGACGGTTTTGGTTACCAGTGCTTCGGTTGCCACTTGCAGGCATATGATTAGCGTGTATAGATCCCTGCTGTATGTTTTAGGACGCGACCGGCTGCGTACAAGTGCAGCCTTCTTCAATCCTGCGGTGTAGTCATTGTTTTCATAGCCGACATAAATTCGTGACAAGTGGTTGTTCTCAAAGCATCGTCAGAACAGTTCCATCTGCCCTTGGAAAAGCTTTAACGCCAGACATGAAATGACGGTTGATGGGATCACCTGTTCGTGGACATCGGGAGTATGGATGGGATTGCGCTGCAGGTGAATGCCCTCATCGTGTACCGCTGTCCTCACTTATGAAGGTGGGCACCGGGTGGGCATGGTTAGAGGCAAATGCCTGCGGACCATTAAACAATCTTTAGCCAGGCCCCCCGTAATCCGGTTATTCCTCCTCCCCACATGCCCATAATTAGCTACGCCCACCCCTGAAGGCCACACAATTTCGGCGTGGATCCCAAAACGCCGGCACAAAAAGCCGTGCCTCCCGGTGGTTCAACCGTGCCCCCAGCAGCGGCTCGCGGCCACCGTCCTGTACGGTGCCAGGATTAATCGAAAGACCATAGCTGAGCGTTCAGACGACCGGCTCGACCTCAGAGAGCAAGGGGATTCGGCACACGCGCTTGTCACGCCGTCTTTCGCGGCCATCCTTCAAACACACCGTTGGCCATGTTTGGAAAAGCTGGCCATTGCGAGGCGACGGCTGCCTTTCGAACTCGCCGTCATGGTGCCCGTATACGGTGCGTTTTATTAGGAGCGACGAGAGCGCCACGCCGACAGAGACGGTGTTGGCAGATCGACAGTGGCGACAGTCCCGCGACAAAGATGGACTTGCTCTCTGGCACCCATGTTTGAATATTGATTTAAATCCCGGCAAATGGTGCGCCACTGTTCCTCGGTGTCTTGAATAATGGATGACTTCGGTGCACGCCGCGAGGGGCCACTTGTTAAGGTAGCGTAGGCTTAGCCGACACAATCACTTCCAAATCGGCAGAAACCATGCGCATTGCTCTGCCGACGGCATTAATGCAGCGACCTTTAAGATGGCCGGAGATGTAGGACGCTATGCTAGGCTCCTGCTTTATGCTGATTCTGAAGTGTGCGTGGTCGTAATGCCAGCAGTTTCCAGAAACTCGGTGTGGTTAACTACGGAGAAAATCTCTCAGCAGTTATCTTTCGACGAAAATGTTTCGTCTTTGTACCGTGTCGGTTTTCTATGCGGCGACGCACCTTTGTTATTCGAATCTTCAGAGACAGTCCAAGTGCGGTGAGCGCGGGCGCAACATGCATCCCAGAAGACACCCTCAACTCTATGGACTTGTGCCTTACGTGGGCACACGGAGAGAAGCAAGTAAAAGTTAACTGGAAGCAACGGGACAAAGAGACAAAAAGGAGCAAGATAAGCAAGAGAAGCAGAGGAAAAAGCCGATGTGGAAACACGGCTGTCAGAAAACAGCAAAGGCAGTGCAGGACCGCTTTCTACAGCACAGAATGCGCCTCTGTATTTGTCAGTATGACTGCACGCGGCCGGGCGCTGTGGGGAGCCAACAGGTATTTCCACGAGGCCAAACAGTTGGAAGCAGTGAGAACAGAAAAGAAAACTGATGCTCCAGCAGCGTTCGGTTTGGCAGTTCTGAACTTTGTGGGGGTTACGGTAACCAAAAAGTGCTAGGCTACATTTTCGTTCCTGCGGTCGTGGCATGCGTCAATCGAATAAGGCATCTTTACATTGTTATTATCAATGATATGATAGTACTGTTATGTGATGGATTTACCGTGTGAGAATATGGAAGCGATCTATCTTTGTATCAGGTATGTAATGATATGATAGCACTGTCTTGTGACTTACCGCGTGAGAATATGAAAGCGATCTATCTTTGTATCACAGGCCATGGCTGCCATATTGCCCTGCCTCCACGACATGTTCTATTTTCGTTTAGCAAAGCATGAGGCGCTAGTTTTTGAGCAGCGACCGTGACAGTGAATGTGACCAACAGCGCAATTTATAGGCAAATTTATGATGACATATCCAGACCACAACAACCGACCACAACATAACTGGATGAATGCAGACCAGTCTCTCAAATTTCCGAAACCAAATAACAGCGAACAGGAAGCCACCTGAGCACTCTGCATTTATCCTCTATTTGCCTGTCATATTTCAATCGGTTCACGGCGGCGTGCCGGCCTCCCAATGTCATTACGGTCGCGCTTAACGTCTGGTGGCCGGGTGCATGAGCTTTAGCGGCTGGCCGGCGGCCGCCGGGTGCCGGCCGCCCGTGCGCCGGCCGGCCCGCCAGTCTGGAGTCGACCGTGGAGAGGGGAGGTGCGCCACGTGCGCGCGCGGGATCACGTGCCGTGTGAACCACTGGTGCCGACGGCGCACGTGCAGGCGCGTCGCGCGGTCAGGGCTCTGAGCGCGGGGGCAGTGAGAGGCGACAGGGGGGATTGGTTTGCGTTCAGGTGAGTTGGCGCCGGGTGCTCATTGCTGGTGGGTTTCTGATCAACGTTTGCGGTGCACGCGGGTCGACCTGTACGTTCACACCTACGCAAGCGCTTCGTGCCACGGCAATATTTGGATCGATCCGGGCTGGGTTTGCTTTGCCAGGCATTGGTTGTGAGTCACGACATCTGAAAGACCTTTCGCCCGCCTCCAAGTAAAAGTTTTGTTTTGCCATGTGAATCCAAATGAGTCCGATCATCCAAACAGCACTATCAACACATGTCAGTTAATGCTGGCGATAGTGACGACCGCTTTAAAGGTTGCCTTCCAACTCAAAATACGCCAAGCAAAGACGCTTGGTGATCGCGAAGCTGGCTTTTCTGGTCGTGTCGAGACTTGTCTCGTTTGATCGGTTTGTCCCTGTTTTGCGCGCCTCCAAGTAAATTTATTTCCGATTGTATTATATCTGCATTAGTGAGGTTTGTTAGCGTGAGCTATGTAATATAATGATACAATTATTTCAATTAAAACAACGATTACCTCTCGCAACATCGGCCATTACAACCCGAGGTCGAGGGTGAAGCTTCCCTTCATCTCTTGATGATACTTAGTATGAAGTCTTACCGCCTTCCGCCTTACCGCCTTGAAGTCCCTTGCCGCCAATCCAGTCAGGACTTCGCAACGGATTTGATTTTTTACCGAGCTTGAATGCCTGCGAAGGAAATTGAAGGCCGAGGACAAGGCTGAAGTGACCCGAGGCTGGTGCGACACCATGTCACGCTCCTGGTCGCATGTCAAATGACATGGTGTGGCAATGCTGCTTGTTGAGGTGTACTTGCTTGCTACTGCTCAGCGCGCTGTGATTCCGCGATGCATTGTAATATGTGCGATGAATGTACAGATTTGAAGATTATGTTTTTGGTCCTGATAAAGTTTATCCCGCTATTTCTGAAGTCTGTTGATTGCGATATGGATGTGGAAAGGGCCCCATTGGCCCACGTGATAGACGTCCGATGAATTAGGGGGATATTTTATGTAATTAAGCGTGATACAAACTGGTGTTTGCTGGACTAGAAGAAATGAGTAAAACCTTCGTTAACACCCGTGTTGACTGCTAATGAATCATGGTTTAAGAACGACGGTTGATTTAGAAGGGGAACAAAATTAAACAACTGAAATCACAGTGCTACTCAAGGACCACATTCTTCATTCAGATAGCTGATGCTGGTTTATTGCACAACACATCAGCTTCTATCTCCACTAGATATTCAATACCACCACCAACTCGGAGATCGATGGCTTTGTATAGACTTTATCGATAGCCTAATCGTCATCGTCGAGGTGACGAACTTCACCATGCAGTGAGCTGCTAACCGGCACCTCCAGCGGACGCCGACGACATATCGCTATTACGACGTCGGTCGTCAATGCTTTACCGATCACTGCAGCCCCCCCTCGGTATTATTGAAAGCGTGCAGGTGCATGACGAGGGAGCGCCAACCCGCTGGGGCGACCCTCTGCTCTGCGCCTGTTGTTTCCAAGATCGCGCCGTCTTCAATCACGGCAGAGCGTGACTCTGAGTCATTAGAGCCCTCGCCCCTCGCATGTCGGCGGGGCGTTCCTAGGCCGGAGTATGCCGCTCCACGAGGTGCATATTAATCAGGTTAAATTCGGATTGGTCGGTCCCGAAGCCCTGCTCCCACCGAGGCGAGGCATGTTCCGGTGGTCTCGGACGACGGAACGGAGTCTAACTAACCCGGCTAATATGTTTGCCATTCCCCGCCCCCGGACGGGGTGCAGTGTTTGGAGTCATGGGACGCATTGACCATGCTCGTCATGCCACTGCCATGGGAAGAAGCTGAAACCCGGACATGCGGTAACTCCCCCGTCACCATGCGCACGGAAGCTGCGCTCGTTTTCGTATGGAGCTGACGCGGTGCTGTGGACCATTCCTCATTAGCACTAATCTAAAGTTTATATCACGGGTAATGAAACATTTGACGTGATTGTGAGCTTGGCGAAGCGGAATACCCATCCAGGGTTGTGACATCCCCAACGTCATACAGAAGACGAACCCGTGCAAGTATCAAGTTCACTGGCCAGGCGAGACGATGAAGCGAAAATGTCGTGATGCCATCTGTCATTGACAAGAAGACAGATATAGTTCCAAGCAGCACGACTGGCCCTCTTGGTGATTGTCCGAAAGCATTGAAAGCTTCACCCTTCGCATGAGGCATTTGGTTCGGAGACGGACTTCGAGGAGGACGATCTGAGTGAAGCGTCTGTTCAGCGCACGGTCTCATAACTGCATATCCACTACCCATGAACCACGTGACCTCCAGATCCAGCTCGGTGATACATGCTGCGTTTTACGGTTTCAGAGTGTCTTTCTCGGTGTTGGTCCGCCAATGCAAAGGCTTCTTAAACGGAGCTGGCAGAACAACAGCGGATGCTGTCGGAACTGGAAGCCCAGATATGCGTCTATGTCGTCGTGGTAGCTTTGCGAAAGGCTGCAGGTTTTCTTGTCAGTGATAACTTATAAATGATACAAGCGTTCTATTAACAATAAATGCGAACATGATTAACAATAAATGCCTGACATATACCTGGTTTCAGAGTCGCTGGGGTACTCTTTGCCCTCTGCTTGGCATTACGGGCTAATGCGAGTCATGACGCATGCGATACGGTGGATAAGCGGGTCGCCACATGACATTCTGACAGCCAACAGGCCCACGTGCGCTGTCGTGCTGGTGACCGCCCACTCACGACTCTAGCACGTCAGGTGGATGCTCTGCTGGGGCTGTGTCTCGGAGAGACTCGCGGCTCTCCTCGCGCCCGCTCTCAGATGCAGCGCTCGTTCGAGCCATCCTCGCTCGACCAGGTTGACTGGAGCGCGGGCCTCCTCCGGCCGGTCCTGAGGCGCCTGGCACCGCCGCTGGCACCGCCTCGGGCCATTTGGGCAAGTTGGCTCGTTGGCTGGCCGTTTTACGCTCAACTGGTGTCCTTGTTCCGGTGATTGCCGGTCGTAGAGGCGGCCGGATGGGGTCGAGGTGCTCGGAGCCGCCGCCGACCGGGCATTGATTGCCGTGCTCCTCGCATCCGCCACGCTCGTAGCACCAGACCACGCGAAGGGATCTCAGTGTCCGATAACCTTGCTGGGGGTGCCCGTATTGAGTATATAGACCGAAATCCTCGATTTATGAGTCCAGCTGCACCCGCACCAATCAGGTGTGCGTGAACATTAATTATTCCTAAAACAAGGAGACTGGATTATTCCGTATCCAATTAACTCGCTGTCTACACCTATATCTGCGTACTTGCTTGATTATCTCCATTCAAATGCTGCAGACCAGACAGCTAGAGCCGTAAGAGTTAATCCAAAATTCAAATACAGCGCATATGACTTCCTTGCATGTAGTGTCTTTTTCTCGTTTTTACATGGCCATAGCTGGACTCCGCCCAGCGCGGTTCATGTGCTGGGGGCGTGACCCCCTGTGCAATACTCACATTGTCTGTGACTCATGCGGCAGCGCTGAAGACGGCCCTCTCCACCTCCCCCGGCTCCTTTCTCGCGAGACCGCGGCGCGCCCTTTCACCGCCCCGCGGCTCCCTCCGCGCGAGACCGCGGTGCTCCCCGCCGCATCGGTAGTTGACCGCAGCCGGCTGGTGCTGGTGCTTCACTCTTAATCTTACTCCCGCTCACACTCGCGGGGCGCGTCTGTAGAACATGCGTCTGCATACGGTTGGGTCTTCGATGGGTAACCAGTGGGGTCTCGGGCAAGAACTTCCCAGAGAACACTCAACCACCGTCTCGGGGACTGTGAGGCAAAGCCATCAACGATCTGTAGCTCCGAAATCCGTGCAAGTCCGGACATCCAATACATAACTCACAATATTTACCAGAACAATATCTATCAGTGACATGCATGGCTTAAAGTAGCAGCAGCAATTACAGGATGCCAGTAAATCAGATGGATGCCAGATCATATTCGTGTGTCGGGGCTGATGGGTTGCTCTACAGCCACGGGCAAAAGTTTGCTGTGGCCTTTCCCGCAGCACAGATGCATTGGATAGACTCAGTATATAACGCATGAGGCAGAAAGCCTGGATTCATCGCCTAATGAGTTTCAGTAGCGGTCTGGCACATGAGCCATGGGGGTTGAGACAGGTGAAAGGAACACGAGGGCATTGAAAAATGACCGGTACCTCGTTAGCGCGGTCCACCAACGACCATTAACGGGCGTTAGCGCGACCACCAGCGGGGACGGCGGGGCACGGCGCGTTAGGGCTGACCATTTTAGAGAAATTACATTCACCAATGGGGACCGACCCCGTTGCGATTTGAAAACTATCTGAGCTGTGTGCTAACTATGCAGAGTGATCATTCGACGTACCCAAAGTCCCATTTCAGCACTGCGAGCCTCGACAGACTAACCGCAAAGAAATGCTGGGTTCGAAGCCGCCGCTCAAAGACAAGTCACTTCCTCTAGTCACTGATTAAATGTAAATTAGCAATGTCCTGGACGCTACGCTTCTTTCTTCGCCAGTCATGCGGCAAAGCGTGCAAGCATGCATGCATTAGGAGGAGTCAGGTGGCACGCCTCCCGTGCAGGTACGTATGCATGCACGGTTCCGGTCTGAAATGTGATTGTCCGTCAGGGGCGGGGCAGCCCCGGGGCACGTCATGACTTCCGCCGGCGGCAACTTCAAAGGCGGCCTTCGTGAGACATGGCCACGATGTATCACGCCGGCGCGCTGTTGTTCTTGGGCCCCGTGCCGCCCTGTATATTTCCTTGTCTTTTCATGCTCAGCTTTGTTTTTTATGTCTTCCTTTTCTTTGCCCCACTTCGTTTCCGGACTTCCTCATGTTCGGTCTACCTGTCCTCCCTCCCCACTCTCCGCTTTTATCGCGTTTCCCCTTTCTTCCCGTTTGTTTAATTTCTGCGTGCGTGTTGTTCGGCCTCCCGCCACTCTCGTGTCTACCTGTCTCACCCGGTCTTCCCACACTAGTGCTACAACA